CAACAGGTTGCTGGGGAACATCAAGGGCATCACCAGCAGAGATAAAGAAATCATCATCCCACTCGGTCCTTCTCTGGCCACACCTGGAATACTGTGTTTAATTTTGGTCTCCACTGTGCAAAAAAAGATGTGAAGAGAAGGGCCACAAAGATGATCCAAGGACTGAGAAGGCCACTGTGTGAGGAAAGGCTGAGATAGAGCTGGGCTTGTTCAGCCATAGGAAAAGAAGGCTCAGGGAAGACCCTGTCCCCATGTCCCAGATTTTAAAGGGTGGCTGCAAAGATGGAGACTCCCTTTTTACAGGGATTCACATGGAAAAGATGAGGGCTGATGGGTGCAAATTACTCCTGGGGAGATTCTGACTGGACACAGAGAAGAATTGTCCACAATGAGAACAATTATCTGTTGGAATAATCTCCCCAGGATATTGGTGGGTTCCCCAACGTTGGACACTTTTAAGATTCAGCTGGATGCTGAATCACAGAATCAGCTAGGTGGGAACAGATCTTTAAGATCATCAAATCCAACCATTCCCTCAGCATTGCCAAGGCCACCACTAACCCATGTCATCTACACAGTGTGTGAACACTTCCAGGGATGGTGATTCCACCACTGCCCTGGGCAGCCTGTTCCAACGCCTGATCATTCTCTTGGTGAAGAAATTTGCCCTAATATCCAATCTAAACCTCCTCTGGTGCAGCTTGAGGCCATTTCTTCTTGTCCTATCACTTGTTACTTGGGAGAAGAGACTAGCAACCTCTTTGCTCCATCTTCCTTTCAGGTAGTTGTAGAGAGACATGGTGCTGGGACATTTAGTCTAGATCATAGAACCATAGAATGGTTTGGGTTGGACAAGACTTTAAGATCATCTAGTTCCAACCCCCCTGCCCATGAGCAGGGACAGAGATCATGCTCTGCCTGGAAAGGTTGAAGCAGAGATGATCCTTGAGGTCCCTCCAACCTGGGACCCAATGATGATGATCGAAGACTCATCAGTCAGAAGGCAGAGGAACGACATCAGAGCCATCAGACACATGAAACACCACAGGGATGCTACTGGTGGATTTCCAGCTGGGAGGGGAACACCGAGCACCGCACATCAACTGGAACTGGGACGAACCGGGAGCCACTGCCCCGCACCGCCAGGGGGCGCCGAAGCTCCGCGCCGCACCCAATCCAGCGCCACCGCTGCCCTCCAGGCTGCTCAACCGAGCGCCGAGCGTCCCCCTCCCCGCTCAGCCTGAGCAGCCGATGGCCGATGCGGTCCCGGTGTGGTGGAAGATGGCTGTGTCGCGGGGGTTGCGGTGCTGCCAGCGAGCCTTCGCCTGGCTGCCCGTCCTCATCATCGCCCTCGTCGTGCTCTGGTCCTACTACGCCTATGTCTGCGAGCTGTGCCTGGGTGAGCGCTCGGCAGGACGGGGACGGGGGGGTTGAGTTGCGTGAGGGCGGGACGGGGTCGGGGGCAGCGGGGCCCTGTCCTGCCCCGGGCCGGACGGTGCTGAAGCGGGTCCGGAGCATGACAGGGCCCCGGTGCCCCTGACCTGTGGTCAGGGCGAGTGTCCGGAGGTGGGAGCAGTTTCCGTGCTAAGATACAGCAAGGCCAGGTTGGACAGGGCTTGGAGCAGTCTGGTTTAGTGGAAGGTGTCCCTGCCTGTAGTAGGAGGCTGGAACTGGGGGAGCTTTAAGGTGCCTTCCAACCCAAACCAGTCTGGGATTCTATTATACGTGACACTGGTTGGGTGGTAATGGAGTGGGTGGGAGGAAACACACTGGTACAGGTCAAGGCCATTGTGGGATTACTTAGTGGGATTTCTATAGTGTGCTGCCTTGGCTTTGCATAGGATTTGTATCCTAGCAGGCCTGACAGGTCTGTGGGTTCCTTAGTCATGAGTCCATGTATTGTGTGTTCTCATGTCAGCCAGGGGAAGTGACGTCCGTGAAGACTGGGAGGCTTATACCACAGTGACCGGCCCTGTTGTTGCCATGTGATGTGATTTTTGGTTTAATCAGTAACAAAAATCAGAGCTGAAGTCACTTTGGCGTATTTGGAAAAGGAAATAAAGAGGTTATGCTAAATCACAATCATGAGTCAAAGAACCTCGTCCAGCAACGTGAAAACCACTGAACTTTAGAAAGGAAGATTTTGGTACAGGCTAGCAATTGCATAGTTGAACAATTTAACTATATAGCAAGTACAAACTTTCTTGTGTTTGTCATATTCCGGCTTAGTGTGTGTGCAGAAACCTGTTACTAGGAGAAAGGGTTGCAAGGTCTGGTGGAGGTGAAGAGGAAAGCTGGTAGCTTGGACTTTCACGTTGGTGAGGAGGAGCATGGTGCTCTTCCTCCTCAGGACAAGGTAAGCCAGATACAGGAAGAGTTCTCCAGGCGGTTTGAGAGGTTTCTATGAAAGAGCTGGTCTCTGGTGCTGCACAGCGAGTTTAAATCAGACTGTTAGGGTTGCCAGTGCAGTGAGACCTGTTGTTTCCTAATGGGGACTAAAATGCAATGCGTCTTCTTTGATCTGTTTTAATTGGCAGCTAGGCAAACCTCCCAAATATTTCATGACATTTTATTCCATCTTTGATGTTGTGAGCTGTGTTATGGGATCACAGAATGGTTTGGGTTGAAAGGGCCCTTAAACATCATCTAGGCTTTTAGTCTCAATTTAAAATCCCTGTTCCTTGCCCATTTCCCCGGGAGATGGTGCTGAGCTCTGGCTGTTGGCCCCAGGGCTGCTCACCTCACACGTGGGGCTAATCTGCATTAATTAGCCTTAACTAGCCTTAGTGGCTCTCACTGGCTGCACCTGTGGGCACCCCCCACACCCCTCCCATGCTCCCCAGTACCAGAGCTGCAGCAGGTTGTTCTGCAGCTCACATTGGTTTCCTGGCTTGACTTTGGACTTGAGGTCTCATTTCCATGAACTTGGGTGATTTCTTCCAGTAACTGACATGGAATGATAACTCCAAGGTGCACGTAGCTGTCAATCAGAACATGTGACAGAAAAACAGGGTATTTTCCTGAGCTGCTGCCAGTCTTTTGTGCTCTGTTTGCAGTGCTGTGCGAGTGCAGTGACGTTTAACACCTGCTAACTCCAAGTCTCAGTGTAGCTATCAGAGAAGACTCAGCTGTGTGGTTTGGGCCTGTGTTGTTCTGTAAGTGCTGCTTGAGCTGGCAGGAGCTCATCTCCCTGCCTGGAATCACAGCTCAGAATCACTCCCTTGCCCACACCCGTCTGTTTCTTTGCCCCATCTTTCTCTCTCGTGCATTTTCTTTGCGTCTGGAGGAGGTTTTCAGCACAGAAGTGAAATGACGAAGTTATTTTAGGCTTTGAACAGTAGCTCTTGGCATATGCAGTTACTTGAAAACCATCTCTGAGGACATTCTCTCTCTTTCACATTTCCAGCATAGGAAGGTTTTTCCTCATGTGTTGGCTTCCTTTGTTACAGGTTTCCATTGTGTTTTGCCAGTTCATTGCACATTCCCATTGCAAGGGTGTAAATAGATTGTGTTTGGATTCTTGATTTTCATCTTCAGTTGTGCAGGCTGCTGAGGACTGAGAGTACTGTGGAGGCGAAGTCCTGGAGATAGTGGGTTTTAAACTCTGAGTGGTACGTTCAGCAAGCAACACTCCAGAGGAGGCTCTAATTTCACATCTGGTTGGTGGTTGCAGCCACAGTGAGAGCCATGACCCAGCGTCCTGCAAGAAAACCTTTTGTATACTCTCTGTTCAGGGGTTTGCTCTTTTCTCATGTAAAATCCTTGGAAAGGCCATGCTGCAAGGGTGAGGTGTACTTCAGGAGGGGACCAAGCAGTGTTTGTGAAGAGTTGTTGTACTCTTCGTAGTTCTGTTTGCAGCAAACTGAAGGAAATCTAAATGCTTCCTAACATCCTCCATCTGACGTTGAGCACACAGACATGGCAAATATTTGGTCTCTCTTTTCACATACATTGCTGTGTATCAGAGAGCTCGCAGAGCAGAATGGTTTGTTAGCAGTTCAAAGAAAAGCTAGTTTCATTAGCAAGAACAGGGCCGCTTGGGTCCTGCTCTGATTTACATTTTCCAAGTTTGTTGTTCAAGTAAGGTGATAGAGTCTTGAAGAGTAAAGTCTCCTCCCAGGCACTGGCTGTGCAGCCTAACAGAGCTGCTGGCGGGGTCACCACTGCTGTGTGCAGTCTCACATATCTTCTAAGTCTTATTTTTGTCAGATTACTCTGCCTCTGGTTCAGTTACAATCATTAGATTCGATGCTTGATATAAGGGGCTCCCATCCTGAGAACAGTCTTTGTCTTCCAAGCAGTATTCTGTCAAGAAACCACAGAACTGCTCCATTTTCAGTTCAGGATGTCTTTTCCTTGTCAGTTAAACTCGGATGATGGCTTTTAGAATAAGGGATGGCTTTTAAAATAATCAGTAGCACCAAACACTGAGCAATGTATCCTTTGGGGCTGCTCTAAGTGGTGCTGTTAGGAGGGACTGTTCCTATGATTATGGTACGGTTGGGAGGGGTTGTAAAAACTCCATTAGTAGGAAGTGTAAAACTAATGGAGTCATTAGAGTGTATCCTTTGTTGCTGACTAAGAGCATTTGTAATTTATGCTGATGCAGACATGCATCAGGGCACTGCTGCTGTGGACGATCAAGCTACAAGTATGTGCTTGTAAGTGCATGCACACAGTTGCTAGAGTAATGGTGCCACAGTGGATTGTCTTTGTCTTATTTCCAGTGTACAAACATAAGAAAAATCTATTCTGTAACAAGGGAAAATACATCATAAGCAGCAGTTATGGAACATCTTGTGGGTGTCATTTGCATGGGCAGAGGAATTGTAACAGATGCTTTCGATTTGGTGCAAAACTTTGGGCTCTCTTTTTGTCTGTTGAATTTGAAGGCCTTTTCCCCAAAATGGCTGTATTTCAGATAGAAATGTTATTTATTTGTCACAGACTTTTCTGGAATCCTCTTTGCTCCGTTTACACGTGTTTCTTTTCTCTTACAGTGACTCTGAGCAACCCAGTAGAAAAAGGTATGTGCATTAGTTTACTGCTGACGTTCAGTGCCTGTCTAAAAAGATTCACAAATGTTCCAGGTAAAATAGCAAAAGCACTTTCTGTCGTGTTTTTTTTTTATACCTACATACCCTTTCAGTGCTTCCTTGCTGTAATTTCACACGAAGCACACAGCATGCACTGTTAGACATGCTGTAACTTCTGGGTGTATTTGAAATGCCCCAGTTTACTCTCGGTATAAGAGAAGAACTTGAAAAGGCCCTGATCCCTTTTTCAGGAGAAGCTGTGTATGTCTGTGTACACCCATGCACCACCAGCAATGCCACGTTGCTGCATCAAGTAAATTCTCTTTCCACTATAGAGCTGTCCTAATAGTTGAAACTGCTGCAGAGGAGCTGTAGGAAGCATGCTATTAATGATTGCTCAGCAGAAGGAAGTTATTAGCTGCCTAATCTATCAGTGCATCTCCAGGTCAGCTTCCTCTAACATGCTGCTGTGTTGCTTTATCAGCAAAATTAAACCTTTTGCAAGATTTATCTCCTAGCATATTGATTTAGAAATGACTGAGCTCCACCTACATGTGGGATAGGGATAGCATCTCAAACTTGAGAGCACACTAATGAGCTACCATTGAATTGCAAGTCGTTCACACAACCCATTGCATTTCTTGAGGCTTATCAGATCATCATCCGTCTCTCTGGAAGGTCTCAAAGCTGTGTTTGGCCTTTTCACCAGTTACATTTTCACACAGCACTTGCCTGAGGAGTTGCTTGGATTTTAGACTTCTCTTCCCACTAGTAGTAGTTACTTTAATCTTCATTTCTAGAATTTGAAACTTAAATGGAATGGGGGGGGGTGGGGGGGGATACTGTATTGTTGTTGCCATTAAATGGTGTGTTTGAATAAAACTGTGGTAGCTGTTTGATAATGCCTTAGTGAGTTGAGTATTAAAGAGAGATTAATCACATGGTCTGTGTAGCTGTAGGTTTGCTGTCCTTTGGCTTTCTAAACTTCAGTATGCCTGCTTATGGCCAAAGGCTTTGAAGTAAAGTTTGCACTTTGAAATGAGATGACTCTGATGCACGCTGGATTTCATGTGATAATCTTGTGTCTGGTGGATTACGGTTCTTCATCAGTAATCACAAGACCCGTTTGGCTCAATTTGAGGGTTGTTTTTCTGATTTGTTTTATGGCATCGACTGTGGTAAATCTAAAAGATGTTTAAGAAGAGATGTGATTATTTTTCTGGTGATGTAAAGCTGTCCTGGAGCGTTTCTCAGCTCTCAAGTAGTGAAGAATGCACTGCACTAGTGGACAATACCCTAATAATATGGTTCTGTGCTTGTAGGTGCATTTAGTAGCAACTGAACCCCAAATTTAGAGATGCTGGAGTATTGCAATATTAACCTGTATGATGCTCAGCAGCAGCCTGTTCTGCTTTGCTTGTGCCTAGGATATGGGGAGAGGCAGGAATTCTGTCTTTCCCAGTGAAGTCTCTTACAGCTGTATTCTTACCCATGGAATCAGGTCAGGTGGAGAAGGGGGGAGGCTTGTGAGATAGGTGACCCCTAACTGCAGCCACAGAGCTCTGAAATGCAGCTGGCCTCATTGCCACAGGATTTAGCTCTGTTCTAATACTGGTCAGTGCTGTAGAACTTATATATTTTTTGGTCATTGTTATGAAAGATTGGAATGATGCCCATCATGAATGAAACTTTTGCTTAAGAAATCATTGTTCTGTTTTTGTTTGTTGTTTGTTTTGTTTTTTGTTTCTTTTTAGTGGCCTATCTTATAATATTCCATATTCTCTTTGTGCTCTTTGTGTGGACATACTGGAAGTCTATTTTTACTCTCCCGGTGCAGCCAGGTAAAAAGGTAAGAGCCCAAGCACTTGTCAGAGTGAATGAGTTGTTCTAGTTGATCTGGTTGGATTTCCTAAAGAGAAGGAAAGTGACCTGGAGTTGTCCATAAAACTGAGTAACTTACTGTTCTGAGAATCCTGTAATGCCCCAAAGAGCATGATTTAAATCAGGGACAGTGTTGGCTTCTAAAGCTGCCTTTCCAGGTGTTTCAGGAGCTGGTAGGAGTTTTCATGTTGAGAATAACAGAACTGATGATGATTAACTTACTTACATATGTATAGTTATTGATCGCTAAGCATTTACCAAGTTGCAAGCCAAATCCTGAGCACCTTCCCTCAGCTGGCCTTACTGCAGCTCCTGAGTAGGAACCTTCAGTTTGGTTGTCACTCTTCATGGTGTTCAGTGTTTAATGATTAATGGTGTAGTGAAGGGTTTGCTGTTGTTTTCTAACACAGGTGGCTTATTTTAGGACAAGGGTATGAGTTAGTGGTTTGAGCACAAGCAGACATTTGTTTCAGTTCTTTTTCTATTGAACAGTTACTTTTTCATGTTCAGATTGGTGGATTTTTTTGCATTTAGTTTTATGTCCCTCTAGAATACTGATAGAACACTGTTGGAGCAATGGAGCGAGGCTGGTGTTTGGCACTCCAGATGTACTTGCCTGTAATCACATCTTAATTACAAGAATGTAAATGTAGAGAAAACAACTAATCCCAGTTCTAGAAATGCAGAATTATGGCTGGAGACAGGTGCTTGCTCACAAGGGAAGTGCCTGAAGTGACCTTGTCATGGTTAGTAGTGTTCTTCATGAGAAATAGTAAACTAAGGCAGTGGTAGTAGCACTTCTAGTATGTTGTTTTGTGATGCTTAATTTCCCTTTCCTGTTTCTTACTGATGCATCACATCATATTCTGGCTGTCCAGCACTTACTGTCTCTTCATCTTCTTAAAAACCTTTTCACATGAGATTAATCTCATTAGAAGGAGTGGGAGGGAAAACATTGCCAAATCTGCCTGTTTGAAATCCTCTCTCTGCTACCCATGGGTAACTGCTCCTCTCATCCCTTCTTCCAGTACCACATGTCCTATGCTGACCAAGAGCGTTATGAGAATGAAGAAAGGCCGGAGGTGCAGAGGCAGATTCTGGCTGAAATAGCGAGGAAGCTGCCGGTGTACACGAGGACAGGGAGCGGAGGTGAGCGGAGCAGCGGCTCTGTTCTCTGATCACGCACGCTGCCGTGGCCTGTGCTGGCAGTGCAGATGACACTGCTGACACACAGGGTGTTCCTGACACAACTGCGTATGCTGAGTAACTCTGGTGTGAATAGTTGTAAAGCCTTTTCTCTCAGGTTTTATGTTTGGGGAAACAAAAAAGCCCTGAATGCTGTTGTTCATCTGCAGTGGAGCACCAAGTGCTGCCTTTGAGAATCAATGTGTTCCCCTTTGTATTTACCATTCAAACGCCTACATGTGTTGTCTGCCTTTAGTAACACAATGACTGAATTGGCAGTTGTTTTTCCTTGCAGTGGAGTCCAGGTAAGGGCTGCAGGACAGAATTCTGTGGGCAGATTTCTGGGTCCTGTTTGGTGATTAAACGCACACTGTGCTCCTTTCAAAGCTTAACAGAAACCTGTGGTCCTCTTGGAGGTGCTGCCCAGTTTGTTTCTGTTGCCAAGCCAAAGAATTTTTAAGTCAAGAACGGCTGTACAGGCAATTACCCAAATGGAATGTAGTAAAGTCTTAGTACACGTGGAAGCCAGAGAGAAGTGTACAGTTCTGCTTTATCACTTTGAACCTGTTGTATGCTTTGCAGTGAGGATTGTTCTTCACATTTGCAGGCCTCCAGAAGAATTACGAGCTTTGCTTCTCTGATTGCAACCTGGCAGCACAGATCATCTGTAAATGCACTGATCTTTTGAAATGATAGAGGAAAGAATATGAATCATTAGGAAATGAGGGGAATATTAACTAATGTGGGAAAAGAACAGCTCTGTTACTTGGTATTAATATGTTTCTAATTTCAGGTATTCGGTTCTGTGACCGGTGCCAGCTGATAAAGCCTGATCGTTGTCACCACTGTACTGTTTGTGCCATGTGAGTTACTGGGTGGTTTGTCACTGAAGTGAATAGTCAACACTAAGTTATGTGAATGGGCTGGGCCTCTACATATACAAGTACCCTTGTACCTCTGGGCCAGCTGCAGTCTGCAGGGCAGTGACAGTGTGTGACAGCACGAGCAATGACATTTCTCTCTGTGGCCCTGAAGTGTTTGCAGTTCCCACACCTTGCGAGTGCATCAGTGATAAATTGCTAGAAAGCAATGCCAGTAAATGAAAATCCACTGATTAATGTGGGCAGGTTAAAATAAAGTATGATCTGACTTTTTTTAGTATATATATTTAATTTGTTTTAATATTCCAGACCTTTACCTGTGGTGTCTTCTGAAGGTTATAGGCCTTACACAGCAGAAATCATTTTCATGTTGTATTATCTTGCAGAGTACCAAGGACATTGGTTGATCTTGAAAAAGTAATAAATATTCCATCTTAAAATGATATGTACCTTAAAAAATGCCCAGAGGCTGCATCACCCTGAGTTTGTGTCATGTAGGAATCTCAAGAACCTGAGGCTTTCACTGTTGATCTGCAGTTGGCACTAAAGTACCACACAAAAACCTTCAATTTTTCTTTTTTCTCCCTTTGCAGATGTGTGCTAAAAATGGATCATCACTGCCCATGGTATGTCCTGGATACTGGCTTGTAGTTCGCTGAAAAGAGAGGCTGTTTTAATGTCTTTCTTCCAGAGAATAGTGCCTTTGTGCCTCTTTCACTTCAGACCATGCACCTCTTGATGTTGGGAAAGTTGGAAAATAGCAACACTCTGAAATAGCCTCAAAGTGTTTGATATTTCGAAAGCCAAATCATTCATGGTTGTTCCATGTCTGTACAAACACTGTTATGGTGACAGAATTTAAAACCCAACCGCTAATCCGCTCGTTGACTGTTATTCCCATTTTAAAGGGACTTCAGTATAGCTTTTGACTTTGGGTCTGTAACGGTTTCAGCGTGCAGTCGGTGGTTGCTTTCAGCAGTACCGTTTGCTGCCTGCACCCATGCGTGTTCAGAGACAGCGTGTGTAGAACAGTGCACGGGTGAATGAAGCTTTATACTTAGGAGAATCCCTGCCGCTAGATTTCTTAAACCTCTTCTTTTCTTTGAGAAGGAAGATTTCAGAAATCAGAAGCAGCACAAACCAGTCCCCCCCTGAACCTCCCCGATCATCCTGAATTGCAGAGGGTCTTTCAAATCCAGGTTTTGAGACAAACACCTGCTATTCTTACATTCCCTTGTTGGTTTGGGGAGTTGTCCTGTGCATGGAGAAGCAGAAATCAAAGGTAGGGTTGGTTGCTCTGTGTGTGAGCAAACCAGCAGTGGGGAACCCGACTGCTGAGATTTGCAGATGAATGAAGTAACAGAGAAACCCCCAGATCTGATTAACTTTGCAGACAAGAAACAGCCGTGAGTAACTGGAGCTGCCTCTGTGACAGATTTACCGGTGGCACCAACTTCAGAACAGTTCCAAAACACAAACCGTGCTTTTTCCTTGGCACAGCAAGAAGTCTGCAAGCGGGAAGCAAAGACTTCGGTTCTGTTTCCCACTGACCACTAAGGGGAGCTCTTCATTGATGAGATTGTGTTGTGTGAATAAGAGGCTTAAATATCTTCCCCCCCCCCCCCAATTGTAGCCCTCGTTGTGTTACAAGTGTGTGCTATACGTATCCTGATTGCAACTTTGCTCTTGTTCTCTAGGGTGAATAACTGCATTGGATTTTCTAACTACAAATTCTTTCTACTCTTCTTAGCCTACTCTTTGTTGTATTGCTTGTATATTGCTGCCACAGTCTTCAAGTATTTCATTAAGTACTGGACAGTAAGTCACAAAACTTCAATTACTTTTTCGTATCCTGTGCATCTTGTGGGGTTTAGTCGTTCTTGCTGCCTTTTTGGTGTCAGTCTGTGGAGATTATTTTTTCTCTAAGGCATTTTCCTGGGCCTTTTTTTGAGTTTAACTCCCATTGTATGTGTGAAATGCACAAAGTGAGAAGCAAATAAACTTCAGGAGTTTCAGGTTTTAGAGTTAGCTCTAGCCAAGAAGTGACATCCTTTTCCTCTACTTGTATTTGCATGGATGGATCTCGGAGTCTTTGGTATCCAAGCAGAACATCCTGGCACTGATCTGTGCATATTCCCTGAATAATATCAAAACACCTTGTTCTTTTCCTAATCCCTGTGTGACTCCTTTCTCAATTTAAAAGTCGACTGAAATGAAGTACGCTTCTTGTTCTGTTACCCATTGTTGTTCGTACACAAGCAATGCCAACAGGCAGCTCCAGTAAGAGTGTGGCCTTTGGTCTGTAGTTTTTTGTGTCCTCTCTGCTGCTAACTCTGTGTGACTGTGCTTAAGTCACTTTTCTGTACATTAGCTTATTAATATTCTGTTGCTTTACTGGGTAGTCACTCAAAAACTGCACTGCTTTGGCTACAGGAGGGGAAATGAGCCAGATCATTTCTTTGTCTCTTCTGGCTTTCCTCGGTAAGGTGTGACATTTGTGCATACCAGTTTGAGAACTCCAAACAGGACTTTTAGAGGCTCTCTTTCTCTCTAGGAACTGAGACTCCCCAGCTTTGATTTGTTCCTATCACTTGTTGTTTTTCTTTCCAGGGTGAGCTGACTAATGGACGTTCCAAATTTCACGTCCTTTTCCTTCTCTTTGTGGCGGTCATGTTCTTCGTAAGCCTTATGTTTCTGTTTGGCTACCACTGCTGGCTCGTTAGTAGGAACAGGTCCACTCTAGGTAAGGCTCTTGGGTCTTACTTTCTGAAGTAAGCCCCACCAAAAGTCCCATTGGTTTTGAGGGGAGGAAGATTTGAGAACTTGGCCCAATGCTACATAAATTTGTCACTTCAAATGAGGTGGTTTATAGGTGGTGCGATAAAGGCTTCCTTAGAGAAATGACAGCCTTAAATGTAAAAGTCTAATTATAACAAGGTTATGCATTTGTACAACTGCATTTGCTGGGAGGTGACTGGAGCTCATTTTTACCTCTGCTCCCTGGATTAAACACACTGTGGGTTGGTTTGGCCGTTCCATGTTGCAAGACCAAACTCCTCCCTTCAGTGTGAAAGTCTTCGTAGACTTGCCAAATGAAGAAGTGTTATTGTCAAACTTTGTATCTTTGTCATGCTAGTTCATAACCTGTTAGACCATGGCTACAGCATGCACAATCCTGTTTCACAGTGTTTGCCACTGAGTTTTGTTGTTTTCACTGATAACTGTGTCTGTGTGCAGAGGCTTTCTCAGCTCCTGTGTTTCAAAACGGCCCAGATAAAAATGGGTTCAATCTTGGCTTTGTAAAGAACCTGCAGCAAGTGTTTGGAGAAGAAAAGAAGCTCTGGTTGCTACCAATTGCCTCTAGGTAAGTAATGATCAAGTCAGTGCTGAGTTCTAAATGTTCACTGATGCCTGTTTTCCACTTTTAAGTATAGTTAAAGGGAAAGGATCAGCACAAAACCCTTTCTGTTCATGAGAGGCAGCACTCAGGTACTTTCAGAAGCACATTATAGTGTGCATAGTCATCACAGGAGGAACACTTAAAGCATCAGAGGAAAAAGGCCCTTCGCTTCATTCAGAGTTCCTCTGTGCTGCTGGGTGTTAGGGAATGCAGTGGGCACACATCAAGCTCCAACAGCTAGGGTTGAACTTTCTTACTTGTTATATGAATTTGAACATGCTCTCAGACCCTTGTTTGATACCCGCATACACGTTTCTATTTGGCAGAGTGCACAGTTTAAGTCAGAGGGAAGTGGCGCTTTTGTCTTTCAGTAACATCTGACTAAGACTGGGGGCATTTTCTGTTGGGTGCCATTCGAACACAGAGTGCAGTTTCTGCCCTCAAGAGTCTATGGTATAATTTGATAAGATTTATACCTTAGAATTTATACCTTAAATTGCTCTTTCCACATAAATGCTTTCCTTAGTTCCCCCCTCACTACTTCTTTTCCTTGTATTTTTTTCCCTGTATCCGAATGACTGGATCAGGTTGGGCACATTTAAGTTCTGCTAAAACTTAATTCCAGGCTATGGGTTTGAACTTTTATTCTCCAGAGAGCCTGAAGGAATGGAGGGCCACAACTCCTCACCAGTAAAACTTGGTATCTGAGCTGCCACAAAATAGAAACCCAGCACTGGTCAAAACTTCATTTTAAGTAAACATGGGAAATAGAGGTGACAGAGAACACTGACTGCAGATAAGATATGTAGACACTGTGATCATCCCTCAGAGCCCCTGGCTGCTTTTCACAGTGTCTTCCTCTGCCTTTTCCATGCAGCCAGGGCGATGGGCATTTTTTCCCCATGAGAGCTTTGTGTGAAGCTCAGAATCCTCTCCTAGCAAATGAAGAGCAGTGGGAAGATGATGGAATGGATGAAGAGCATCATGGTAAGGTACCAGTGAAGGGAGTTGGTTATATCTCGACCTGCAGTGACAAATGCATGCATTACAAGAGCTAATAAAAAACTTGTGCTGGCTTTATCAGCTCTAACTTGACCAAGAAACACTGACTAGAAATGACCCCTCCTTCCTTCCATAGAAGAATTACTGTGCTATGAGCAATTCCAGGTGAACCAGCATGTTTGTACATTAGGTTTGATCAGCTTCTGAAATGTAAAACACACCTTTTATGCCGTGGGGCATATGTCCTGTTAGTAAAAAACCTTTCTGTGTATATCCATTCACTGATGATTTTTGTTAGGTGGAGCCACACTTAGTTTAACGACTCTTTACTGATCATTTCTCTGTGCTTTTACCATTTTATGTAAGGCACAAAATATTGTGGGGAGGCTTTTTGTTCCATTTCTTAGCCAGAGACTGGAAACATTTGGTTCCGCATTCATGGTAATTTGGATACTTTTCAGATTTATTAATACTAATCCTATTTAAAGTCTGAAATGTTCCATTAAAACAGAAGGATCTTGTCTTTGTGGCTTTAAAGCTTATTATGAATAGGTAAAGCCAGTAATGGAGTAATCTCAGTTTATCAACTGCTCTTCAGGTATCTCTGATGAACAGTTGTCTTTATTTGGAATAATGCTTAAAAGCACACTCCCACACTTGGTGGAAAATATGTTCTCAGTGAGGAAACAGATTTACTTACCTCTACTTCGATTTCTGTTCTGTAGATTCTCATGAAGCTTCCTCCCTTGCCATAGAAAGGGAGACATAGCAGTCTGAACATGCAGCGTATAAGGCTTGTCCAGGAAGGTCAGTATTCCTTTCTACATCACCTTTAAACAGCTGCTCTGCAGGGAATGGGCAGCTGATGCTGGGCTTAACTGCAGCATACCAGACAATGCACTGACAGAGCCACTGGGCGCATGCTGAATGCTGCTCACCTCAGTATGGTGTTGCTGCACCAGTATTTCTCCTTATCCCAGAAATACACTAAGAGAACCTGGAAGAAAACAGTGTCTCTCCTGGAGGCCTGTGCTGGCTGTTGACACAGTGAACACAAGAGCCAGCAGCTCTGTTTGCAGGGGAGGATGCAAACCTGGCAGCTGCTCTGGTAAACATGGCAGGAACGACTCTTGCCACTTGGAAATCTGTTCCGTGATTCATGAAGAGTGTGGGAAGTTGCAGATACAGTCTTGAAAGAAACCGAAGCTGTGAACAGCCAACAGTTAGGAATAAATGGCAGTAACTTGTACTGCTACTCTTATAATTAATTTATTTATTTATTCACTGTGGAGAAGCTTTGGTACAGGAACAGATGACACAGTTTGGGAAAGATGCTGCTACCAGAGTGTTCTCTGCTCTGTAATCTGTTCTGGCCTTCCTAAGAGCAGGGTGATGCCCTGCACACATACTGGGCAGTGAGCCACAGGCTGTGTCCACCTCACTCTCCAGGAAGTGTTTTCCCACTGGAGTGTTACTGAAGTTTCAGTCCCAGTGGAGGTTCAGGGAGATGGAACAGTCAGGGAATCTTCCCCTCTCCTTCCCAGGGCTGTTGAATAACTGCACTGTGTGGCAGTGTGCTGTACTCTACTGCCCAGCCCGGCACACCAAGAGGGCAGCCCCAGAGTTTTCCTGATGGGCTTCTTGCATATTGTAGGTATGAGTCCATTTTCTTCCACTAACAGAAAAAAACCCAAAGTATTTTTAATGTAGGTAGTGGGGACTGAATGGTGCCATTCTATGGAGGGACAGTTTCCCTGTCATTCCACATGGCATGGAAATGTCCCAGTATAGAGGAGACATCTCCCAGTGCCCATCAGGTCAGCGCTTACAGCTGCACATTTTCTGTATGTATATTCCAGCTTCCCTCTCAGGAGTCAGCATCCCTTCTCTTGGCCAGGACTTCAGTTCTGAGGGGCAGAAAACAAGTGGATCTTCAGGATGAGAAAACATCATGGAGCATCGTCTGATTGGAATCTGCATTCCAGAGTGCTTCTCCAGGAATCCTGCCATCCAGATGTCTCAAGGCTTTCCAAGTTTTAAGTTACAGAGTGAACAGAACAGTTTTATAGAGTGACTGTGGCCAGTCAGCTTTGGCCCACTCTTTTTTTATAAATAGGCTATATTTTTTATTCACAATAGGTGTACAAATACTGACCTGAGCGCAGTTCAAAGGCCTTTCCGTTTTGCAGACATCAGGGACTCGAGTTCTTGAGGTTCTTTGAAGCCATAATATTCTTGGGGATGGTGTTTATTGTGAGACTGATTCTCCAGCCTGCTCTGACAAGTGGCATTTTCTGACACGTTTAAAGTTCTGACTCAGTTCAACGCCGTGAGAGACAGACCCACTGAAATTTGGCACGAAACTGACAGTTGGATCTAAGGGTGTTGAAAGACAAAGTGCTGAACATGCATTATACATGTGCAGCTGTGCATGAAAATAGAACACGTTGCCAGAATCGAGATTCAAGAATACTGTGGCCGTAGGAGGGTGTAACTGTCTTAGAGTTCGAGTTCTGGCATCCTTTACGCCCAGTCCTGCTTGCAGGCACCTAAAATGCAAAAGGGGACTGTGGACAGTAGAGTCGGTGTTAATTCCTAGGGCTGCAGTACCAGCTCATCCCTGGACCAGTGTCTGATGGACAATTGTGTGTTTGTGGAGTCAGGGGAAGGTGTCAATTCTAAACGTGTGAGTTAGAAATGCACTGAGAGCTTCGCCCCAGCAGCAGTTTGGAGTTTACGCCTCACGAGGGTGGTTTCAGTCCCGTAATGCTGAGGAGCCAATGGGTACATTGAACGTTTTCCAGCTTCTCCCTCCGTACATGAGCTGGTTGGTGGTTTGAAGGGGTTCCAGCACTGAGGTGGTTGGGTTTTTTCCTTCCTTTGGTTCCATTTGCAGTCAGGGATGTACCACTGCGTTTAGTCTGTGGACTGGAACTGAGGATTTGCTGCAGGATTACCCACGTTTTTCTACACCTGGGTTTTTTTTATCTGCATGATTCAGAGCTGGCAGCTCCATCATTCCTGTGAATTAGGTGCATGCTTAAAGTATCAGTAGACTGCCTTTAGGATCATTTTTTCCCATTTTCTATCTCGATTTTGTGTTTGTTTATCAGCTCATTGTGTTGACAGTGACTGCAGCAGCAGTTGTGCATGTCAGGAGAAATTACCTGATAAGTATCTGTTTGGTGAGAAAGGCACTGAGCCCTTTTCCTGTTTGCTGCTGCTACTGGGGGAAATGTGTTTATGAGGCAGGAGAGTCTTGCAGGTTTTCTGTCCGTAGGAGTGGATGTTTAACTACCTGGTGTAAACCATGCCCGGCACCACAGGCATGTTGCACATTAGCCTCTGGAGTTGGGTATAGGGCAGGCAGTGACCTCAGTACAACATCAGTTCAGGACAGGCTCACCCAGGCTGAGTAGGTGATGCTGGCTTCTCAGAGCCACAGGGAGCAGTCTGGATGTTCCTGTTTAAGCCCCTCTAACCACATGTAATGAATGTTTCTGTCAAATGGCTGTTGAGTGCTGAAACTGCTTTTCCTGTCAGTCTAAACCTGCATTTCTAATGTTGATCTTGTGGAGGACCCTAAGCTGTGTTTGATGAAAGATGCAGTAGAATTAATCACCTCCTTGCTAGCAAAACATGTTCTGGAGGGGGCTGGTGAGAGGAGGATGGCAGCTAAACACAATAGGAAATGTGTAGGAATTTAGCACCCACAGAGGTGCCATTTGTGCCTTTTAAAACTCACAGTTCCTCGTATACAGAAACAGGAAGATGATCTGGTGACCTCCCATTTCATTCTGTCAGCTGAAGGGTGGTTTTAAGGTAGGAGTATGAGCTGTGTCTGAAGCCATGTGGATTCTCTGAGCAGGTTCTTGTGCCCTGGCTGGATTTGGTTCTGGTCACAGCCGTGTCATTGTTCCAGTGCTGTGTCTCTGCCAGGCAGCAGCAGCACGAGAGCTGCCTACAAGATGCACAGGCAGCATCCCTGCCTGCTGCCTGCAGCACTGCTCAGCAGGTAGTAGAGGATCCGTTTTTGTCTTACTGTTAAAACAGATGTCTTTATGGTAACACAGCTCTCCGGCTCAGAGTTAGAAACAGCTTTAAAGGTTTCTGAGTGACTTAGGAACGTTACTTGCAATTAGTTATGGCTGATTCTCCCCTTTCCTTAACAGCCAGCGAGTCCTGTCCAGGGAATGAGGAGGTCCATAAGCTGCACTGCGCTCCTGTTCTGCGTTGTCTCTTGCTGGGTTGGTACAGTGTGGTTTTGGAGTAGAATATCCTTATATTCCATTACAGAGGAAGCAGTCCTGTGTGGTTTTAGTGGGCTGTACCTAGTGCAGGTAGCCATGAGAACCAGGAAGCTTCCCAGCAGCACTGCAGGGATGAATGTTTACTTCCTGGAGCAAACCAGCAGACTAGACTGGCTGTAGTTGTTAGCTCCGTGTGCTGATGTGGACTGAAAGCACAACCTAGTGGTAGTTACCAAACCTGCTGCATAAAGTCTGTAACATAATATGAATGTAAGTGTTGGGGGGGGGGGTGTTGTTGAAAAGAATTTACTGTTTCTCCCCCAAAGTCAGAACTAAGGGACAATGTGCTGAGGTGGGCCGTGGGTTCAGGGACCTGCTGCCTCCACACAGTCCTTGTGCCAGCAGAGCACATTCACTGATTGCAGAGCTGGCTCCATCACAGGAGCCTTCCATCAGCAGATGAATGAGGCGCTGCTGACCGTAGTAAGCCACAATGAAGTAACTCAAAGGGTCACATTCTTTGGTGACTTGGTGGTACTAGGTGTTGAATTTCATCCATAGTACTTGAAAATACCTTGACTCTGAGATCTTCCCAGTTCTGTCAGGTTGGGGTTTGTTACAGAACCTTACGAACTCATTCTGAAGCCACCAGTTAAAGTGTTTCCCTGCAGAGTGGGGTTCGTTATAGGCACTGGTCTGTTGGAGCTCCGCAAGAGTGCTGCTGGTCCTGTTCCTGCTAAATGCTTTATTTCCCTTCCTAGCCATGAACTCCCAGATCATACTCACTGTCACACAGCTTTATTCTTGTTCTTCCATCCTCCTCTAAGTCCTTCCTCCTGAATATCTCAGCTAAAATACTGCCAGTTTTCAGCTGTCTGTGGCGGTTTCTGGACCCTGTGCAGGTGAGTGGCTGTCACTTTGAGCACTTGTGCCATGTATTTTATTTGTACCTAATCTGAATGGCAGGTGTGGGTCTGTGGTTCTCCTCGCTCGGGCTCAGCTTTGCACAGGGCAGTGGGATCCATCTGCCCGTGTTGCTTTTCTCTCTTCCCTGAAAAGGTTACTTTTTCCTTTCCTAGCTCCCGTTTGGAATGTAAACCTTGTGAGATAAACCCTATGTTTACATTCCAGAGACCAGTCTGCAAGGTGGTGATGCTTTCATGCTGCTTAAAATAGTGTTATTTATTTTTCTGTAGGAGGTTTTCAGATGTGCAGCAGCTTGGGATTGCCACTCTCAACCATGTTGTTTCATACCAGTTCCTCACTCTTTGATTTACTAGGAAGTGTCACAATGGCTCCGCTGATGACAAGAGTTGGGTTCAGTTTAATGCTGCTGCTGACATTGAGACTTTTGATATCAAATGGGTTTTTACAAAAGCTTTGGATACTCGTTTTTACTGTCTGACAAACATTGCTGTTGTTATGCTTTGTGTATGTGTATGTTCCACTAGTGTTCTCCTGGTGTTCGTATGGTTTCTACGGTGAATATCCTCTATGGTCTGCTGTCATTTTCTATTACGGTTTATACAAGAGCCTGCATGCTTTGTACTGCACTGCAGGCAAGGGCTGCATTAAACCCACTTTTGGCCAATTTATTATACTTGTGAATGGTTGTTTCTCTTACAC